AAAAAAGATTCCTGACTGGCAAAACGAGTAGTGGATGCATATTTATTTTTATTTTATTTTAGATTTTATTTATTCGTACAAGAACTGGGATACAGACCAGAAATATGGGGGGTGAGAGGATTCACCAGAGACAGAGTGGGGAGCAGAACAGGCAGATTGGCTGAAATACACTGCTGTGGGGAGCAGTGGGTGAGATGGGAGAGGTCTGTGCCATGTGGGTCTGCTCCCTGGCCAGGGATTAAACTCATGCTGCAGTGGCTGTGGACAGCTTCATAGTGCTGTGCTTTAGCCCATTGTGCCACCAGGTTGGGCCCTGGGTGCATATTTTAAAATAAGATTTTTCTTTCCTCTAAAAGAACAAAGGAAAACATAATAGGATCAGTGCTAACCTTTGGCAGGGGTTCCATATCAGTTAAGGCCTTGGAATGCAGATCCTGCCACTGGGTAATTTCATATCTAAGTGGATTGACATTCAGTCAGCAAGAGCTACACATGATAGAATGTAAAAATACTTATTGAATACTTAAAAATTGTAACAACTTTCTTTCCCTTTCTCTATTTTGTTAAATAGGATGGCTTAAATTCATTGGTTCTTGATTTGGATTTTCCTGCTTTGAGGAAAAACAAGAATATAGATAATTTCTTAAATAGATGTAAGTATATTTAAACTTAATAATTGACTATATAATTACTTTAGCAAGAGATTTGTTTGATCCATTTACATATTTAACTGCTTTTCAGTTTGCTATTTGATTCATTTAAAAATGAACATTCTTATTTCCAAAGCAAAATTGTAGAATTGCAATATGTAAAGTAGGTAAAGTTCAAGATTACATATAAATTAATAATACTATTTGGTGATTTCAGGACAGTTGATTGTAGTTGCAAGAGAATTCTTAAGTTAGCTTTACAGGACCCAGAGGGCTTAATGAGCTTACATCTGTAAACATTTAGACATTTCAGTATGGTTAATGAGAGAGAACATGATAATTGTTATTATCATAACAGTTGTCACTCTTAATATTTGCCAGTGCTGATATTGTTATAATGAAGGTATAAATGACATTGAATACATGAAATTGTCTTATTCTAAGAATAAGGCAGGCTCAGAATATACTGTGTATCAACAAAGTAAGTACTTTAATTTGGAATTATGAGACTGGGCTATTTCCCAGTTAACAGTTTTGCTGTAGTTAGCACACTTATAATTTGTGATTACTACCAAACGTATGCTATCAAAATTGATGACTGAAATTATCTTTGCAAGTACTTTTGTCATGACTTTTTGCCATGATTCAGAATTCTTGTCAGGTTGCTTTGGGTCATGACTGTTTCAGCTGTCAGCTAACTACCATGCAAGCGCAAGCGTCAAAATCAAAACACTTTAGCTGTTGCTTTTTGGTAGTACTTACTGTTTGTTTTTGTGTATATAAGCCCTAGAGTTTTGGGTTTTTGGTGTTAAACGTGTACCTTAGATTATTATAGCAGTCTTTAAAAACTGACATTTTCATGAAATAAAACTTTCTACAAATGTGGTTTTTTAAAAAATATTCTTTACAAATTTGATTGCTGTTACATGTTTAGTGATTTTTTTAATTACAGATGAGAAAATTGTGAAAAAAATCAGAGGTCTACAGATGAAGGCAGAAGACTATGATGTTGTAAAAGTTATTGGAAGAGGTGCTTTTGGTGAAGTTCAGTTGGTGAGAAGTATTTGCTTTATTCTTTTAATGTTATTTTGATAACATGGTTTTGTAAAACAGTGTCAGTAGTCCATGACTAGACCCAGTTTCTATGGCCTGACTATACTAGAACTAGTCACAGACTTGGTAAAAGTGTCTTGTCTCTGAGCGCCTCAGTGTCTTCATCTACAAAAAGAGGTGGTTGTGCTCTGTAGAAGCACCAGGTCTTTTCCAGATCTGAAACACTTGAGATTTATGATACTTTACTTCACATGTGATCTGCCTCGCTGTTAATATTCCACAAGAATTACTGTTTTCATTTAGTCTTTTCAGATTAATAACATCTCTGCTTTATTAAAATTAATTTAGATGTATGAGAAACCCAACAAAGATATTTTAATAACTGAAAAATTTTCTTTGTGAGCTTATTGAATTTGTAGATTATGGTAGTACAATAGTTTTATATATTTTATTTAAAGAAAAATGTATAGACATATATATATATATATGATACTTGGAAAAAACTTGTCATACTTGAGAATGATAATGGAGAAATGTCAGTGAACAAGCATGTAGGTAGTCAGCTTTATAGCTGATTTAATATTTGCATTCTAAAGAGACTAATGAATGGTACATTGTGTATTTATCCCCAGGGACAGGTGTCAGGGTTCTCTTTTCCCTCTTGATAATCATTTTATTACTGACTTGTATGGAGGTCATGGTAGCATGTTAAATAATTTTGCAAATGAGTTAAAGCTCTGTTATGATGAGAATGATTTAAGACTGAACCCAAATTCAGAAATGAAGTGGAAAGGTCATTGACCAGATAGAAAAAGTCAAACTTAATCAGAATACTGAAAGGTACAAATGGATGTGAACTTCTCAGGGAATAGATAGCTTAACGATAATTACAAATTAAAGAACAAATTTCCTTGAATGTAAAGTAGGCAAGAGTCATGGGAATATGGCTGTCTACATCATAAAGCAAGTTTGAACTGCATTAGTACAGTTTCTAAGACAAGAGAGATAGGTTTCCTTTCCTTTTAAATGATTGGGACGTGCCTGACTTATTTTCTTTCTAGATGCCCTATTCTCATTTTTTAAAAAAGATTTATTTATTTATGCATACAGAACTGGGGTACAGGCCAGAGACACAGGGGTGGTGAGAGGATTCATCAGAGACAGAGTGGGAAGCAGAACAGGCCAACTGACAAATATGTTGCTGAGGGGAGCAGTGGGCGTGTCAGGAAGAGGTCTGCCGTGCCAGGTGGGTCATCTCCGGGCAGGAGGGGATCCAGCTCATGCTGATGTGGCTCTAGCTTCTTAGTGCTGTGCTTGAACCTGCTGCGCCACCAGGTTAATGGAATCCTTAGCATCAGATAAGAAGATTCCAAGTATGTCAAATAGATGAATGGATCTTCTATAAAAATAGTCTTTATTATAATTTTTATAGTACTAAAATCAGAAGTTCCAAATGGGAAATTTGTTTATTTTAGAATGATTTTCAAAAGTTCTTGCTTACAAATGTCCCAGTAGGTCTAGGTTCATTTAGGATTTTCCTAAATCCACCTTTGTTTCATCTACTTATTTTTTTTTTAAATCAGCTGTGGAAAAGGCAAGTGAACAAATACAAGAAAATAAATATTCTGCTTTTAACTTTAAAGCCTTATTTGTGGGTTTTTAAAAAATCTTTTCCCCGTATATAGTCAATTAGGTGGTTCTTAGCATTTATCCACCTTTAAAATTAGAAATGAGGACTATAACCGTCTTTCTCTAATAGAAACACTGGAATAAGAGCAACCTTTGTGTCCTCAGGTACTGTCACTGTCATAGACCAGTGACAGGGGAAACCCCTGATGCAGTAGCTAACATTTTCAGTGAGTATGTCTTAAACGTGCTAAGTATTTATATTTATTATCTCATTTTACTTTTGCACCAATTCTGAGTTTCTTACATAGATGAAGTCACTGAATCTAAAAGGATTAAGCAGATTGACCAAATAAATGGAACTTTTGCCTACAATTGTTGACATCTAAATCTGGTTGTAAGCAGCATTGTGGACAGTGTGATAATGAATAGCTGCTGTGTCTGTTTATCCATCATATTGAGTAGGGAAATAAAACCAGAGAACAAAGAGGAATAAACAGATATGTTGAGGGGATTGTATTAGAACATTCAGAAGGAGAGATCATTGGAAGGAAGACTGATGTGAACCAGCTTTCCTGACGATCTGCTTAACTTTGTGGTATTAGTGCTATAAATAGTGCTATGAGGTGATAATTTGGCACGAAGTCACCACTGCCTCTTAATGTTCTGTAGATTATGTCAAACTAACAAAAAGTTTTACAAATCTCGTTTAGTTACAGATATGGTTTTGTTGAATTTGTTATATCGACCAGTTCATCATTGTGCACCTTGCACTAGACATTCCTACCAAGAAAGGTTTGTGCTCCTGAGAAGTTCAGGAAGTAGATACGTAACTTGATACCAGACAGCTGTAAGTGCTGTTGAAGCACAAAGTGGGAACCCCTTTTGCTTCAAGAATCCCAAGTCAGTAAACATTTTCTCATGCTCAGAAAATCCTCTGGGCCTATATTGTGTAACTTGTTACTTGTTTGACTGAATGGTCCTTTCCCTATTAGGTTTTTGTTTGCTAGTTTATTTAATTCATATGTAAAAATTAAGCATATAATTAAATGTTTAACTATTATATTTTTAGTTTCTAGTAATAGCTATACTTTATAGCAGAATTTTAAAAACTCTTGCCATGGCATGAATGAAACGTAAATTGAGTGGCTGACTCTTTCTTTTCATGCAGTGCTTTCTCTAATAAAATCAGGAAGCAGGCAAGGTCTTACTTGTTCTCAGCATAAGTGAAGGTGTGAAGACGGGCATAAATATAGAAGAAGGAATACCTTACCAACCTCTTTAGCAACTTAAAAAAAAAAAACAAAAACCATTTAAAGAGCATTTGCTTTGAGATTATCCACTAATTCTACATACATCAGTTATAAAATCTGGTCTGTCTGCTATGGGAGAAATTTCAAGTTTTAAGATTAGGCTCTTTAAACTCTCTCCTCCTCTCTGTCTCACCCATATTTTCATATTGCTTTCCCATGCATTACTTTTGTCTTTCTATGAATGTTGTGAAACTATGTGCATAGGAGAAATTGTTATGCAAGTTTAGTAATTTAACTCAAAAGATGGATATAATCTGTAATCCTCATCATAATTTGTTTTTTTTGTGTAAAGGAATCTTTACATGTAAAGATGTGATATATAAATAACACATTTCAGAATATATTTAAGTGAAAAGTGATGTAAGCTGTTGCTATAACATTTGTAATTGTAATATTGATTAGGCAGTTTTTATTTTGGGTTCTGTTGTTTGATTTACTTGTTATATCAAGTACTGAGAGGTCTTGTAGTTAAAATATCCAACTGAAATTGTGGTTTTCTTTTCTGTCAGTGAATTTTTAAGGTCATTTGTTAGAAGCATACATATTTGGAATGTTTCCTTGCTGTGCCTTCCTGATGAATTATTCATCTGACTTTCTTTTATTCTTTGCTATTGAAGAAGACTACTTTGCTATTAATATTGCTTTGTTGACTGCTTTGCTTGTTTGCATATTATGTCTGCTTCCATCCTTGTGTTTCCAGCTTGTTTGGTTTTACTTAAAATTTATGAGGATAAGGTTTGCTTTGTAATAGACTCTGACCATTCTGCCTATGAATTGGAGTGTTTAGACCAGTTATATTTACACACCTCTTAGGCTGTTTAAAATCGTCTTGCAGCCCTTGAGTGTCATTTATTCATTTTTTTCTCTTTATTCATTAGATTGATTTGTATTCAGGTTCACAGACTCCCCTTCTATCTCTGTCCTCTGGTAAGCCTGCCAATGAATTTCCATTTTACTTATTTTCAATTATAAAATTTCCAGTTGGCTCTTTTTTATATATATTTCCATTTATTTGTTGGTATTTCCTTCTATTCTCTCTAGACTTTTTCTTTTAACGTGTTTTCCTTTAGTTCTTCGAGCATATTTATGAGAGATACTTTAAAGTATTTATCAGCTGAGCTCTTAGGGTCATTTTCTGTTGATTCCTTTTTTATTGATAGCACATTTTCCTTTCTGCCTCTCTAGTAACTTTTAAATTACTAACAGTCCTTCCTGGATATGTGATAGAGATGCTGACTTTTGTTATTTTTTTTTGGTGAGTGTTGATTTTCATTCTAATAAACTGACCAAGTACTTTGTAATTACCCTTAATTTGTGCAGGCTTAGATTTATGCTTTGTACATGTGGATATATGGAAAGACCAAGTTGTTTCCTAGGTCCATCTTATAGGCAGGACTGAACCTACAAACCATTTGCTTTTTCCCGGGAAATTAGCAATATTCCTCCACTCTTGTTTTACTGGGAAGTTGATGTCCCTCCAGTGCTGTTTGATCTCAAGTGTGTCTGTTCTAGCTACCCAGAGCAGTTGCTTTCTAGTAAACTGGGTACTTTGAGTAGCACAGCCCTTAGCCGGGACTCACACACTACATCAAGGGACCTCTGTATGTACAGCTCCTTACTTCCTGTTCCTGCTCGACACAGTCCAGATGCTGCACCTGTCTTGAACTCTGGTGGCTGCCTCTTCAACTCAGCAGGAGCATAGTGCTTTGCATAGTTAGTCATGTGATGTATGGTGGTTGGGTATTGTCTTCCAGCAGAGGATCTGAGCAGTTATGGGTTGACTTGGTGAATTTCTCTTCTCTTGGGGATTGTGGCCTTATGTTATTTTACAAGACGTGAAGACAGTTGCTTCATATATTTTGCTAATTTAATGGTTGTTTGCAGTGGGATAGCTAACTGGTACCAATTACTCCATCTTTGGCAGAAGTGGCTATACTGAGTAACATGTGTCTGTATGTCTTACTTAATGCTCTTGTGTGTCTTTTCCATAATGATTTGTTCAAGTCAGCAAATAAAAATTTTTACCTGAGTTTTGAAAGGGCAGAAAGCTCTATTAAGAGCTAAAGCATTAAATGATTTTCTACAACTTTATTGCATTTTAAACGTTATCTGAACGGCACAGAAAGAGGATTCTTACATATGCTCTCTAGAGAGGATATGAGCAACTCTTTGACTTTTCTTGTAGTCATCAGTATAACACTGGTTTATTCTAAATGTGGGGAGCCTTTGATGAACTAAAAAAGAGAACTAAAAATATTACATGTTGACTTTCTGAAAACAGAACTAATGGTAAATAAAAAACCTTTTGCAGACATTAACTCATTCATCAAATAGTTTGTGTATTTTTAATTTTCCATGCTGACATACTGCTTGGCACAGAGGGTGAAGTGGAGAATATAATAGGCATGGATAATCCGATATCTGCTAGGAAGAAAACAAAGGGAGTTGAAGGTAGACAACAATGAATTCCATTTTGGAGAGTGTGTCTTTCCTTTGAAGAATTTTTATTTCATTTGAGTCAAAAAGGAGATAGCTTTCTTGGGAGAGACGGGAAATTAGTAGTAAGATTTTAAAAGGTGACTCAGGTTAGACATTAAGCTCCAACTCTATAAACTGTCTCGTGTTCCCCCAGGCCTCAATGGGGTGACCATATAATCCTTTTTTTTTTAACGATTTATTTATTTATGCATACAGAGCTGGGGTACAGGCCAGAAGTGCAGGGGTGGTGAGAGGCTTCACCAGAGACAGAGTGGGGAGCAGAACAGGCAGATCAACGAAGTTCACTGCTGAGGGGAGCAGCAGGCAGTCAGGAGAGGTCTGCCGCGCCCTGTGGTCACCTCTGGGATCTAACTTGCACTGAAGTGGCAACAGCCAGATCACAGTGCTGCGTCCTAACATGTTGTGCCACCAGGAAGGACCGACCATATAATTTCTTATAAAAAAACTGGCAGACTTCTGAGTTGACAAGTACTGACTGGGTGAGACCCCATGTCTGCAGAGATCAGGTCCTGTTTTAGGGGAGCATCCTAATTTGGGGTATAAATCCAGAGAAAGTAATGAATTTGGTATGCAGATTGCTTTTGACTCAACTCTACTCACTCTATAGCCCTTTGGAAATTAATTTGTCGAGGTCTCAAATCTCTCTTTTGTGACTTGAGAAAATATTTCATTAGGATTATAATGAAAATTAAAAGAGACAGTACATTTAGCAAAACAGTCTGACTTACGTAGTAAGCACTCATTCAGTAAATTCATACTTTTAGCAAATATTTATTGAAAGATCATTATGTGTCAGGAATTATATTGGGCACTGTGGATTAAGCAAGCAGTGAACAAAACTTCTTGCCTTTCTGGGCTTACATTCCAGTGTGGAGCAAGAATACAATAAATAAGTACAAAATAGGATGCAGAATGGTAAAATAAGTACACTGAAGCAAGACATAGAGAAATTCGGAATAGCGAATGATCAGGCAGCAGAGAGCAACGATGAGTTGAAAGTTTGCTTCACCTGAGTAGGCCCCATTGAGATGGAACAATTGAAGAAATTGAGGAGTTGAGGTGATTCCAAGTGGGGGAGACAGCATGGGCAGCACAGGCGGAGATGAGAACATGCAGAGAACAGATGTAGGAATTGTTAGGCAGGGCAGTGGCCAAAGCCATTCTGTGCTGTGGGGCCAGTCAGCTGGCAAGAGAGCAGGGCAGCTAGTTGAGGCTGCTGTGGGAAGTGCGGTCAAGGCCCCTAGCCCTGACCGCTAGCCCTGATTGCTAGGCCGGGGAGTTCTGTATAGTCAGTTAGAGGTGGCTGCTTTCTCAGAGTCTGAGGTACTGCTGACATGACTGGCTGGGTGTGATTGTCTGAGTGAGAAATAAAGAGCAGCCAAAGACTTTTAGCCAGAGCAGCTGGAAGGATTAATATGCCGCTTCTTTCAGTGGCATATCTGTCTGGGGAAGGTGGTAGGAGAATTGCCTTCAGGAGTGACAACTTAAATTCAGTTTTGGGTATCTGTAGACATCCAAATATAAATAATCAGTTACAATGAATTATTAAATCCCAGTGATGTTAACTACTATCATGAATTAAATATTTATTGACTTTGTGGTAAAGAGTTTGTTACGTTCTAGTCTAGGATTTAAATGGTGGCCAAAAAAACCTACTATCCTTTTATGGAATTTATCATATAATGAGGGAAGGAATTAATCAAATAATCATATTTTGGTAGTTTTTCCCTATAAAAGTCTCGTAAGTAGTATACCCAAAACGTGTCAACTTACCAAAGTTTACAAATATCTCTTTAAATTTACTAGGTGCTTATATTCAGATAGTGAGGAATACATACATGTCTTACAAATTTCTCATTTAGCAATGTCTTATTCTTAAACCTGGCTAGGTTAATCAACATGAGGCGGTAAGGTTTCATGTATTCAGCTTTATTATTTAGGTGAAATGAGATACCTCACATTTAAAGGTACATATTTCACAAAATGCTTAGAATGTAGTTCTTTATTTCATGTATTAATGTTATACTTTTGCTTTTTGTTAATTAGCTGAGGATCATTTTGTTTTATATCTAAGGTCTTTAATACTAGCATTATCGTATGATCAACTCATCTTTCTTATAAAATTAAAGTATTAATTTTTGTATTTTAAAAAATCAACAGGTTCGTCATAAGGCATCACAGAAGGTTTATGCTATGAAACTTCTTAGTAAGTTTGAAATGATAAAAAGATCAGATTCTGCTTTTTTCTGGGAAGAAAGAGATATTATGGCTTTTGCCAACAGTCCATGGGTGGTTCAGGTAAGCATACTAATTTTTATAGTTTTATTTCCTTTTTTAAAGCAAGCATTTACTATTCACAAGAATTGATTTTGTACACTAAAGTCCTATGTCTAGTTTGCACAGTTATATTACAGTTGTTTTTAATAAGATCTCATTCATTGCACTTATTTAGTGTTCTCAAGGAATATGCCACCTAGAGACGCTATACCTAGGTTGGTGGATTGAAGCCAGTAGTGGTTACTGTGGCAGGGAATCTCTTTTATGAAAGCGATTTTTTTATTTTATAAGTGATTGGGTCAGCTTCTCATGTGTAATTACTCTGTGGCAGCTAGTGACTTATGTACTAAGAAAAGATCTTCCTGTGGTAAAACTTCTGGACATTCCTCTGTAATTCTTTATTTATTCCCTATAAAGTAAGACAGTATTGTAATTCCTAATTCAGGCTCTCTCTCTTTCTCTCTCTCTCTCTTTTTTGGCTGTGAAGAAAGTTACGAATCTGTTGCCTTCTTTTCAGTTGTATTTCTTCCTACCTTTGCTTCTCTAAAGATTTTTGTATACTGGTATTTAATATTGCAAACATTTTTGAACACGTTTCTTGAGTAAGATTAGTTGCATGTCTGAGTGCTGAAATGATTTAGGGCTTGTATGGATGACAGTTTTGAGATAAAAAGTAAATTGTCACATTTTCCATTGTCTAATTTAAAGATTTATTACTACTGATTTTCTAAATGATACTGAGACTCAGCATTTCTCCTCTCCACTTAATTTTTTTATTGTAGCCAGTGAATAGAAATTTTGATAAGTGCAATTGAGTCTAAAATTTTTGTAGCAAATTATATATCATAATAATTTATTTGACTAATGGATGATGGTAATAAGTTGCTTCACTTTCATTTTAAGTTGTTCTCATAATAACAGATTCATTGCCATTTCTTTAGTTGGTGCTTTTCATATTTAATTCTGCTTTTCATATTTAATTCTAATAATTGAGATACAGAGTCAATGGATCTTTAGAAGCAAACCAATAGTGAACCACTGTACAATTGAAGAATAGATTATATATCCTGGCTTTCATATGTTTATCTCTGTGGCATGTTCCATGCACTATTACATTTAAATAATATACACTTGTATATTATTATATGTAGTGGATAGTTATTACTGCATTGTATATTACTGCATTGTATATTGTAGTGGATAGTTATTACTGCATCGTATATCAAATTAAATGATTTGTATATTATAAATTGGAAAATTTGTTAAAATGACTGATTTATTATTCAATGATGATTAACATATTTGTAGAAGTGTGCAGTCATCACTTTACCTAATTTTAGAGTATTTTTATCACTTCAGAAAACATCCCTAAACTAATTGACACATTAGTTTCCAACCCTCTCTGACATTTTATTTACCAGTTTTCCAAATAAGGGGTTTCTTTCCCCTAGTAGGGACACTATCAGTTTGAATTCATGGACTAAAGACCTATTTGATGTGTTTCAGTCCTGTGAATATCTTATTGATGCTCACATTCTGATGTTCCCAGCCAGTAGGTTCTAAAGTTGAGTTCCTAGTCCTTTTGACATATCCCTAGTAGTTTTTGATAGCTTGTTTGCTAGCTCATGTGATAGGGTTGTCCAGACCTACTTGATGTATTTTTAGCCCTTGATATGAAATTAACCGTGCTTGTAGGTTAATTTTTTTTGGTATGTGTGAGTATTTCTTTAGAAATAGAGCACTGGCATTGGAGTTGCTAAGTCGGATGGTATTCACGTTTAACATTTGGGTTGATAATTCTAAAGTTGCCTTGCCCCCCCCCCAAAAAAAAACTTTTACAAGTTTACAGTATTCTAATTGTGCGATAGATGTTTTCTTTCACTTCAGTTTTACAATACCAGACATTGTAACTATTGAAAATTTTTATTTTAAATGTCCTTGAGAAATAAGATGTGCTAGGTTGCATTTCCTTGATTACTAATACGACTCAGCACAGTTCATATGCTTATTAGTAATTCCAGCTCCATTAATTGTCTCAGTTTTTTGGTGTGAGTTTTTTTTTTTTTTAAAAATTGACTTGTTAGAATGCTAGCAGATTCTGGTTAATCCTCCGTTAATTCTGTGTTGGAAATACATCCTCTGGACTATTTTGTTCACTCTTTTTTTTTTTTTAAAGATTTATTTATTTATTCATATAGAACTGGGGTACAGGCCAGAGATGCGGAGGGTGAGAGGATTCACCAGAGACAGAGTGGGGTGCAGAACAGGCAGATCGACGAAGTACACTGCTGAGGCAAGCAGCGGGCGGGTCAGGAGAGGTCTGCCACGCCATGTGGTCTCCTCCGGGGCAGGCGGGAATCGAACTCATGCGGAAGTGGCTTAAGCTTCTCAGTGCAGTGCTTTAACCCGCTGCGCCACCAGGGAGGGCCTGTTCACTCATTTTTAATACTTAGATGTACTCAGATCTAGGTTCTATTCTGGTACATTTGTTACCATGAATGAACTAATTGATTCATTATTATTAGCTAAAGTTCATAGGCTAGTCTCGTTTTCTTAGTTGTAATCTAATATCCTTGTTTTGCCCTACATTAATTATGGTGTCTCAAGCTCTTCATCTGCTGTGACAGTTTCTCGAACTCCCTATTTTTGATGGCCTGCTTGGAGCATTGCTTGTCAGTTGTATTGTAAAATGTATATGTTTTTCTGTTGGTGTTTGTTGTTTTTCTCATTTAAGGTTTTTGAGAGAAGGACAGGTAAAATACCATATTCATCCATATATTCATTGCAAAGTTTAAATGGATATTGAGATGAGTATTTCTTTTGCTTTTTTACATTGTGGTACAAAAACTGCTGGGATTGCAGAACTGTGGTTTGAGCTTAGAGAAAACATATTCACTGCAGATTTGTATAGAAATGAAATCTTGTTTTAAGTTATATAGTTTGGGAATTGCAGACAGCAGATTATTAGTTGTTGCCCAAATGAATGCACCACAGTTTCAGCTTTGCATTAAGTGCTATTTTGCCTGTAATTTTAGATTGTATTGATCATGAAATATTATCAAGTCTACTGCTACTGCCAACTTCCAGTGTTTGATAATAGTTTTGTTTTGTTTCTGTTTTTCTAACTGAGGTAACATTAGTTCACAACACTGCATGAGTTTTCAGGTGTACAACTTTTCACCTCAACAACGGTATTGTATATGTCTCTCCACTCCAAAGGATGATTCATTCTTTTGGGTCAGCCCAATGTTCCATTTCAACTCAGGTCAAATAATTTCAGTAACATATTATCACTGCTTAGCTTTTTAGCTGCTTTTAACTGTCGTGTGGTGGAGTCAGGCTATGTAATTCCTATTTCTGACAAAAAAAAAAAAAAAAAGGAACTGATGTCGGGAGTTCATAAGAGCAAATGCTGCCTGTCATCAGTGTTACTTGTTTATTAGCGCATGAGATCCTGATATATTTTCCTCAGTGTATCTGATTTGTGTTATAAAGACTAACCATGGACTTTAAACATTTTCACAAGGCTTTGTAAATGCTCCAAATACAATTTTTAAAAATCATTATATCAGCCCTACCTCCTTCCCTCTCGTTAGGCCACAGGTGGGGGTGTGAGAGGACTCCCCAGAAACAGACAGGGAGCAGAACAGGTGGATCCACTAAAATCCACAGTGGGGAGACAGAAGAGGTCTGCTGTGTCTTATGGGTCATTCCCTGGCTTGGGTTTGAACTCTGTGCTGCAGTGGCTGTGGAATTTGTAGTGCTACATCTTAACCCCTTGTGCCACCAGGAGGGCTTCCAAATACAATTCTACCACCATCTCTTGTAATATACCTTACCAAAGACTACTGCTGAATTAGTGTTTTCTACTTTGAAAACATTTTTGCCTTGAGTTCACCTTGCAGGCTGTTTATAGAGGATAATTCTTAATTCATTTAAAACTTGTCACTGCTTCTCCAGTGAACAGTGCTGAATGGTGTTGGTGACATCTGTTGTCTCACGGAGAGCTAAGGACAACCACTCAAAATTGTTTGCCTTTCTTCAGTCGACTATTGATATTGCTCGCAGTGCTCGCCACTCTGAGCAGCTATTGTTACTGAAGGACTGACAGCCATAAACAAATTGAATTTCTCTAGACACATTTCTTTGCAACAAAGACAGTTGAATTAATTCACCACTGGTAAAATGACTTTCCTTGCTTACCTAAAAAGCTGTCTGAAAGTTTCTTTGATTTCTGTCCACACACATTTGGCAAACTTTAACATTTTATTATAGTTAATTTTAAACTACTAGACATCACAAGAACTTTTGCATACTTCCTATTCTCCTACCATTCTTTTCTCCCCCCGACCCTTTGCTTTGGTGAGATAGTTGCTGAGGACCAAACTCAGGCCTTCGTGACTGGTGCTGGCTTGAATAGCATGGACACTTCACCCCTGCGCCGCCAGGGAGGCCCTGGCAGTGCTCTGCTCTAGTTCTTCATCTGTCTGGCTTTCGTGGTCAGCCCTTATTTTCCCATGTATGCGTCTCTCTTTGAATATTGTGTTGTTGAGATGATCAGGAGGGATGGCTTATAAACACACGTGAAGTCATAAATTTCTCTTTGAGTTCAGTTTTACTTTTATCATTCTTTAAAAAATGGTTTTATCTGTGATCTATACACAGAAGTACATAGGACATTAAAATGACTTGTCACTACCCAGTTTGAAATACGAACATTGTCACCACCCCAGAAACCTCTTGGCTCCCTTTCCCAGTCACTGCCTCTGTGTACCCCCCCAAAGGGGTACACAGTAATAATTTCTGACTTTACTAGTAATAATTTCTTTGTTTACCACTTAAACAAGCACTCCAACTACAATTTTCGTGTTTATTGACATTTATATACCAGAAACAGTTGAATATCTCCTTTGTAGCTTTTCAGTTCTGCATGTTTATTGTGTCTTCCAGGTTGCTACCATTTATTAGTTTCACTGCTGTATTTTCTCCCTTAGTCTATATCAAATGTCTATACCACTTTT